ATCATATGTGTGCTTAACGCTTTTCTTCTTTTTCTGCTTCTTCTTCTTCCGGCCTTCACTTACCCATACCTTCTTCAGTGCACATGGAAAGGTGAACAATTCAAGATGCAGTCCTACAAATTATTAGTCCGATTCTGTTACAAGGTGAGAGTCCAACAGCTCAGATTGATCGGATGGGAAGCGCTGATTGTAGCACAGAAGTGAGGCCACTTGATTACCTGTCGAATGGCACCAACTGCAACTGAATGTGGGAAACTGTGAAGATGAGGAAAGGAGAAAATCGAACATAATCAAGGCAACCGATGCCAGTACAAGGCATCAGCGCCTAGCGAATCTCCCCATCTTCGAGCCTGTGTTAAGGAATCCGCCATTCGTCAGTGTAATTTTGTGCGTTTTGACAACTCCAACAAGCTTCCACTGTGAAATGAATTGCTGAACTTAAAAACCGCAAGTCTTAGTCGTTTGCTTCAGCAAAACAGCCTTCTGGTGCCATGAGGAATGTGGACGCGAGTGAATTGAAAGGCACTTGCAGATACGCTGATACGCGATTCTGTTGCGTATGACTGGACATCGCCCTACTCCACAACACCTACGCCAAAGTGTTGGGAAGTCACGCCTCTCCCATTACTGGAATGACCTCCGTCGCGCCTTGTGTCAACGTGCGCACCTCTCAACGCATATTTCACTCTTCCCTACCTTTTGTGGCATTATTTTTGGCATCGAGGTGCTGCGATAGTTGAGGAGCATGTTGCAGCTCTCTCCGCACACATTTGTTCTCCTTCCGCAAATATGCTCCTAACTTTGCGCCTTACCTGATGTGAGGAGGAAGCGCCACAATGTGTGCAAGCAGCATCGACACCAATGCCTCCTTCGTAACGGCCTCAAGAGCCAAGATGAGACGAATGGCAACATGTGTGAGGGTTCTCGGTCCATTTCGAGTCTAGATAGAAGGTGGTGTAGGAGGTCGAGGGGGAAGCAAAGGGTGACGCAGATTGGTGGTGCTAAGAAGGGAGCGAGTTTGTCACATAATCGCAATCCAAGACGAAAGAAGTTGAGTACAATGTATTTTCTTGTTGCACTTCCAACTGACCTGCATGGAGTTTATGTCATGGGAGCCACTGACACGTCGGGAAGGCCTTTGACTGAGGCGCACATCACCGTGATCTGACAGGTGGAGGAGTTTGCGATAGGCCATCACTACAACGAATCACGTGCATGACTGATTGAAAGGCCGACTTGAGTTGCCAGATCGCATGGTGCTGCAGCGAAGAGAGAAGGACTCGACGTGAAGGAGGACCAAGCCTCGAAGTGAGCTTAGGCTTAGGAAGTGCATTTTGAGTGGTTGTGTAGTATTGTGCTTACGTGACTGCATACATGAGTGGTAGTTAGTTTGAAGTGTGTCTGTTGGGCGGACTGCCCCTCGAAGCGTGTCACAGCCCCAACTCTACCCATTTCCCACAAATCCATGCTGCGTCACCCTCTACCACCAGACGTCGAACGTCCGCAGGTAACACTACGAGACTCAAAGTCAAAGACTTGACGCTAGTTCCGACGAGCACCACTGATTAGAATTCCTTGTTAGCGGTTTACGCTTCTCCACAGTGGCCTGATGAAGGTTGCTGTGCAGCTGAGCCC